ATGTCCAAGCACACACCTAGCTCCATCCCCATTAGGAGTCATAATGAGCACATTGCTGATGACAAGGTCAAACACAGACAGACCTTTCCCCTTTGGCCTAAACCTGCTGACAAGGCAAGACACAGGTCCTCCAACCACCCACTCTTTGTCTCATTATTAATTAGCTAAGATTAGAACGGTTTATCTCTCTAAACTAACAAAACCCAGAAATAAAAGTTTTCTGTTGAGTTGACTAAGACTCACCCTGATTGCAAAACAATCTTAATAGTAAATTACACTACCAGTTACATGGTCACAACCTGCTGAGATCTGGCTATGTTCTCCCTATTGCAAATAGTCCTAATGAAATCATACACTCCACTGTCTGTGGCATTCTGTCTTTGACAGTTACCAGCCTCTTTTACTGGAGTCACAGCTCATAATATAGAGGAAGCTACTCTGGAGACTTTTGTTATTTTGCATTTCATAGGAACTGAGCTCAATAAGCAATTGACTCATTTGTTGTGAGAGATTATAAGCAAATAAAAAGAATTCTTATACTTTTGATGGCAGATAATTGGGTTCCCAGGTTAGTCTGGCATACTGGAAAGAGGGTAACTGGGTTTTGTAGGCTACAGCCATGAACCTCCACATTTGCTACATGTCTCCTTTAAGGAAGCCACTTCACCTCAGTAAGTTCAGGTATTCAATTTGTGAAATGCTAAGTGCTAGATTTTTAATTAACACTGTGAAGAAAAACTCCTTTTCTTAGTAGAAATATCTTCCATACTCCCAATATACACACACTCCTGTTTCTCTTCAGGAAATGCTTCTGTTGACCTGTTAGAATAGGAGCTGAAAGCCTAGGTGACAATTTTGAACACTTATATAAGAGGTTAATATTCTGCTTTAGATATTGGAGGTTAGAACCAAGTCAGCTTACTGCAGAGCTATTGTTTTGCTGATTGGATTCAAGTAGAGTGACAGATCTGAGTTCCTTGGGACAAAAGATCGGCATTTCTGAGGCAATAGAAATCTAAAACAAAAGAAAGAGAAGTCATGTGAACCACCTTCTCAAATTATAGTTCCTTTTGGCTAGATGCCTAGTGAACTAGTTTAAGAGTAAATGCGAATGGAACCTAAGAAAAAAAAATAATTCTCCCTCATGGAAAAAGGAAAAGAGATGCCTGCAACCACCACCACCATTTCCTCAGAATATTTTATTTTTAAAACTTATAAATTATTTCACTGCTTCTTAGGGATATACACAATTTGTTTTAGAAAAAAGATAAATAAGTCTCTTGCCAGTTTTACAATGTGAGAATGTGTTTCTCAAGGTTCTGAAACTATCTCTGAGATGAAATCTCCAAGGAGGATGGTTCCCCATCTCCTCATCTTTATAAACCAAAAATAAAACTCATAGTCCCCCTGACCTCAACTCTGGCAACCGTCTAAATAGACCCCTCCTCTGCCAGGTCGCCTTAAATTCAACTTGAAAGACTGGTTTAAGCCATGATGGTGAGGCAGCCAGGTGGGAGAGGGTCCCCAGAGAAATTCCAACCAGCCTACACACTGGAAGGAATGCACAGCAGAGTGGAGCCACAGAAGTTTGCATTGTTGGAAGTGGGGAGAAGCCTGGCCCCTCCTCTTCCTGTGTGGAAACTGAAATTCAATTTGCAAGGTGGTAAGCACACCAGCAGAGACTCTAGCTTTGCAGAGAGTCTCTGTTCCCCTTCCTTTTTTTCCTTTACACCCAATAAAACTCTGCTTTACTCACCCTTTAACTTGTCTGCAAGCCTAAATTTTCTTGACCATGGGACAAAGACCCTGTCTTTAGCTGAACTAAGGAAAAGTCCTGCAACAATGGGAAGGGAGGGTCAGACATGCCTCATTATGCCTTCTTTCCTCTTGGAATTCAGGAAAAGCCAGCCACCATTTAACATCAATACAGACCTTAAGTCTGAGAAGAAACCTTTACTATGTATTCTCTCTGAAGCCTGCTACATGGAGACTTCATCTGCATCATAAAACTTTGGTCTCTGCAACCTCTTGTCATAACCCAGACATTCTATTCTATGATAATAACTCTTTCAACCAATTGCCAGTCAGAAATTTTTTCATTCTACCTATAACCTGGATGCCCCCTTGCTTTGAGTTGTCCCACCTTTCTGGACTGAACCAACGTATATCTTAAATGTATTCAATTGATGTCTCATGTCTCCCTAAAATGAATATAACTAGGCTGTGCTTCAAACACCTTGGACACATGTTGTCAGGGTCTCCTCAGTGCTGTGTCATGGGCCATGGTCACTCATATTTGGCTTAGAATAAATCTCTACAAATATTTTACAAAGTTGGACTCTTTTTATTGACGTTTTCATGGGAGGGTAGGAACCTAGTGTTACCCAGGTGTCTGGCTCCACATTGCAAAACTACCTCCTGGTATAAAGATATGAGAATTTGTTTTTCCTTTGGATAAAAGTAATTAGCAAGCACACATGGCCATTTTATTACCCAGTGAATTGGGGATGAATTGTATGTGGCAAACGGTGCTGTCAAGTCCTTTTACTTGCAGATTACTTATCATCAACCTTGAGAACATGTATGTAAGGGTTTTACCTACTTGGCCACATGAAAGGATGAGATTTCCCTTTTTCTCAATCTCTTTAGCAGATTTCCTGTGATGTACATTGAAGTGTGCTTTAGTGCTTATTCAACAACATCTATTCTACTTTTGTGGAGAGTTTTCCTGAACAGGTTTTGTTTTAGATTATTTCCCAAACACTAGATATTTGCCAGACTTGAGGCTGTAAAGCAGGGGTTAGCAAGCTTTTTCTGTAAAGACCCAGATAGTAAATATTTAGGAATTATGTGTCACATACAGTTTTAGGGCATATTATTTTCTTTTCTTTTTTTTTTTCAGCCTGTCATTAATGTAAAAAACATTCTTAGCTTGTGGCCTGAATGGGCACTGAATTTGGCCCTTGGCTCCATAATTTGCCAACTCTAAAGTGTGGGCGGAGATTGTGAAACCCTTTCCAGAGAGGCCTGTGAGGGCACCTTCACAGGGTGATGCTACCTTAAGGGAAACAGATGACACAGACCCCAGTCTTTTGTTTATTTCCTGAGACACTAGAATTTGGTTCCACCTTTGTGCCAAAGGAATGCAGTGAAAAGAGAAGAGAGATATCCAAAGGTGACATATACAGTTAATTCTTATTATTCACAGTGGTTATGGTCTATAAAGTTTCTATAAATACCAAATTACTATAGGGGCAAAAAGAAAGCTTCTCCTCTGCCCTCTGAAGGCTCACTGCTAAAATGAGCCTACAATAGACAGATTAGCTGGGGGGAAATGCATGCAATTTATTAATGTGCACATGGAGATGGGAGTCCTGAAAATATGAGACTCAAAGAAGGGCTTTGGTTAAGCCTTAAATACTTTCTGGTTGGTTAAGTCTTTTTTTTTTTTAGACAGAGTCTTGCTCTGTGGCCCAGGCTGGAGTGCCTTAAATATGTTCTGGTTGGTTAAGCCTTAAATATCTTCTGGTTTATTAATTTTTTCTTTTTCAAGACAGAGCCTCACTCTGTCATCCAGGTTGGAGTGTAGTGGTGCAATCTCAGCTCACTGCAGCCTCTGCCTCCTGGGTTCAAGTGATTCTCCTGTCTCAGCCTCCCAAGTAGCTGGGATTCCAGGCATGTGCCACCAGGCCTGGCTAATTTTTGTATTCTTTGTAGAGACGGGGTTTCACCATGTTGGCCAGGCTGGTCTCGAATTCCTGACCTCGTGATCTGCCCGCCACATCCTCCCAAAGTTCTGGGATTACAGGCGTGAGCCACTATACCCAGCCTGGTTAAGTCTTAAATATCTTTTCCATAAGGGACAGAGAAGTGGGGGACTGTAGGCACATCTAGAGGGAAAGTAAATTATTTTAGGGAAAATAAATGAGCTCAAAGAAAAGACAGTTGGCCTGGTACAAAGTTTCACTGAGCTCTGGGGGAGGTACAAGTAAATTGTGCCAAGGTGACACGCAGAACTTTGTTGTAAACAAAGGTTGTCAATATGCAGTTAAAGTCTTTCACATAATCTCTCTGAGCTGCCCTTAGAAGGATAGATGAAAAGTCTGTCTGGACATGGTAATGACTTCTAGTATTTTCTCCTCTTTGGTGGTTAATCTTTCCTGGCTATACAATAAGATTGGTAGAGAGAGACTTTTAAAACAACTGCATTTCTATGTGTCAATTTGACTGGGCTAAATTAAAACAAACAAACAAAAAACACTGCATTTCTTCTGGAGAAACTTCCTTTGATCAGACTTGATCAGGTAAGGAAACTTCAAAGAAAGCCCCTCCTTTCTTGCGTCCTTGCTTCAGGCAAGAAACAGGATGGTAGGTGATATGGTTTATCTGTGTCCCCAGGCAAATCTCATTTTGAATTATAGCTCCCATAATTCTCATATGTTGTGGGAGGGACCCAGTGGGAGATAATTGAATCATGGGGGCTGTTCCCCCCATGTTGTTCTCATGGTAGAGAATAAGTCTCACAAGATCGGATGGTTTTATAAGGGTAAACCTTTCACTTGGTTCTCATTCTTTCCTGTCTGCTGCCATGTAAGATGTGCCTTTTGCCTTTCACTGTGATTGTGAGGCCTCCCCAGTCATGTGGAATGGTCCATTAAACCTCTTTTTCTTTATAAATTACCCAGTCTCAAGTATGTCTTTATCAGCAGCAGGAGAATAGACTAATACAGTAGGGCAGGGTCGGAGGTTAATGGTGTTGGACAGAGATGTTGGTCCTGAGGCTTATTTCTGAGGCCTTTCAATTTTATTTAATTCAAAGCACTCAACATGTCCAAGTACCATTTTTGAGGGTATGGTTCTCGGAGCTCCAACATTAGCAAGTACTAAATTGTTGCTCCTTGGGAAAATATGAGGGGATGTTCCTGTGAGCCTCTGGCTGCAACATTTTCACCAAATGACCAAGGCATATTGTTTTATATGTGTTTCTGTTTAAAGACATTTTATTTAATGTATAAAATTTATTCATCAGCATTGAACTTACAGCCAGTGGCATTACAGGTCATATCTGAACAAAAGTTCATCTCACATGTGTATTTTCTTCATAATGCACATCACAGGCTTCTTGTGCTTTGAGAGCACCTTAGCACTATGCTTGGGGGCCATTGTAAACATCAAAATCACCAAAAAAGCACAAAAATATGAAAAACATGGCCCTAAATGGATTGTGAAAAGGACGCTTGGTTTTAGTATGAGAGCCAAAACAAGAAGGCAGAGCATAGTTTTGTTCAACATCAGCTGGGAACTTGAAAGTTGGGAGAGTGAAATTTTTGGCCAGTCTGTGTATGACAGCAAAGGTGCTGTGAGTGTGAATTTTGGGATTATAAATAAATTTTAGCAGGTGGGTGAATTTGCAAATATAACTACATTTTAGCAAGAAGATGGATTTGAACATAAAAATCCATGAATAATAAGAATTGACATTCTGTGGGGGTTTTATTGAACGTGAAATGTAAAGTCTGTTTTCTATCTCTCCACAACTACTTATGAACAATGAATTCACTTCCAAATATGCTTTTGTATAGAGTTTATATATATTGGGGGGGTGTGCCTGGAAGTGCTGAGTAGAACCCCCATTTGTGTGTTATTGTCACTTGAGATTTCAACTCCACTTTTGGGTTACAGCTTAAGAATTTAAAAGAATCTAATTAAAATATTTGTATGTTAATGTCTATTTGAAGACATTTTAGGAGTAAGAGTGTCTCTGCGTTTAAAATGTCATAATTCTTGGCTTGGATTATTACATTAATCTATTATCATATTTAGAAAAATAGCTATGACAAGCTTCTGCAAGTAGGTCATGTTGGTGCTAATTGCTTGTCAAAGCTGGATCTCCAAATATCACCAACATAACGTGTTGATGAGACAAAGCTGATTGCTTATTTATTGCAAAGTTTATTGCTTACCTATGTGGCAAAAAAATAATGACCTCTCAAAGATGTCCACACACATCTCTGGAATATGTGAATATGTGAACTTATATGAAAAATGGAAATTAAGGCCACAGATAGAATTAAAGTTGTTAACTCACTTTGAAATAGAGAGATTATCTTGGATTATCCAGATAAGCCGAATCACAAATTCTTAAATTTGTGATTTAAGAGGGAGGGGGAGGCAGAAGAGAAAGAACCAAAGAGAAGGCAGTGTGAGAAGGCCTCCCAGCCTGTCATTGCTGACTGTGAAGTTGGAGGAAGGGGCCAGGAGCTAAGGATAGCAGGCAGCCTCTAGATGCTGGAAAAGTCAAAGAAACAGAAGCCCAGAGCCTGCAGGAAGAAACTCAAGCCTGCTGATGCACTGAACTAAAGTTCAGTAAGACTCACATCAAACTTCTGACCAAGAGGACTGTAGGATAACAAGTCTGGCTTGTTTACAACACTGTTTGTGGTAAATTGTTACAGCAGCAATAGAAAACTAATACACTGCGGCAAAAGAGAGATTGCAGCCTTTGTAAATTTCTAGCAGCATCCCAGAGGAGAGAAGGGGAGATCAGAATTTATTGAGAATTGCATGTTTAGTTTAAGATGGGTCCCTGAAGGAGAGGATTTGATTAGAATTGTGTAAGAATCATTATACAACAGTCTGGCCTTAGTGAAAATAGTGAAGTGAGGATTTGAGGGGAAGAATTCAAAGACTCAGGCTGCAAACTTGGTCTATACCTTCCCCGGAAGAGTTGATAAAGCATTTGGGAAGTTCCTATAATAAAAAATCAAACCATTCTGGAGGTAGGACAGTCCTTGAAAAGTAATACTAATGGAACAGTAGAATAACAAAGTTATATTAATATCAGTGGCAAGATGTGGCTTTGGTTCTCGGTGTCCAGGCTGAGGTGATTCTCTTGGTTCTTGATTTAATAGCTGATCTTCTGTAGAAAAATGTATAGCTGTCACTACCCTGCTTCCTCTGTGTACTATGACTATGACCAAAGGCACAAAAGCAATGTAAGTATGATCTGGATAGAAAAAACGTATTTGGCAGCTCACTATAAAGAAAATAGAGTATTCTAATGGCTGCTTTCATTACTATCACTGTGTACATTGCTGAAAGTTGAACGTGAGCAGAAAATAATAATTTTCAAATTTTAAGATGGACTTTGCTGACTACTTATGACATACTAATAAGGTAACAAATTCTTATCAATCATGTTTGAAAAGGACATAAATAGAACACAGTGCTTTGCCATTCTAGTGATTGTCAGATTTCTTGTGACAACTGAGGATGTTAATTTTATAGTAAACTTGCCATTACTCTGTATGTAGTTGATCATGATGTCTTCTGAAGCAGTTTCAATCATGGCCTAGTATTAAATATCAATGCAATGCTGCTTTTATAAGGCCCATGAAACTAATGTCTTTTTTTTTTTTTCAAAAAACATTTTTATTTGTGTATGTAACTTCAAATTTAGAACACTCAGAATCAGTATGAACAAGAACTATTTTCTGACAAAGATTTGAAATTGGGGCAGTGAATTACTCTAACAGGTGCACATCAACCTCTTCCATGCAATTTACATCTGTATCTTATGCAGTGAAAAAATGGGTTACACAGCTCCATAACTGCAGTATTTTTTAACACCCCATTTTGCAGTCTCAGAATACTTTTCAGTTAAACTGATCCACATGTTTAAAGATGAGAAATAATATGTTTACATTGTAAAGTTGAGTCATAACTAAATAAATGCACATTTCCTTCCATTAATAAAATCTGGAACAATTTATGGAAAACAAAAATCTATCCACAATATCAGTAATCTAACAGTTCACACTTTTACTGAACAATTCCTGTGAGCTAGGCCCCGCAGTAAACATCTGAACATGCAATTTCACATTCAATGTGGAATAGGAAGTGTCACAAGTTCGCGTGTTTTTCACAACTGATTATGATGGCCATGCTGACGGCATGCACTAAGCGCTATGTCCAACCAGCCCTTTACCTGGCATTGTAGCCAGCAAGATCCGCTAGCAGCTCACAGTGCTTGCATGCCCAATTTTAGAATGTTACATGAATACTCAGGCCTGAGTAATCCTGCCCTCCAAAAACAAACGTAACAGGACTAAGACTTTCCTACTCAGACACATTGTAAGACCCCACAGGGACAAGGACAGTAGCTGTGATCTAGGTCTGCACTAAAGCTGCCTTTCCTGGGACTCAAAAGTGCCCTTCCAGGCCTAACTGCAGAAGGGTGGCCTCAGCCTCCTCCTCCTCTTCCTTGGCTTCCTCCTCACGGATCTGCACCAGCAACTCAAAGAGGTTTGGGGCCGGTCCTTCCCCAGCCCTGTTAAGCCACAGCTGCCTTTGGATGGCCCCACTTTGGTTGGCCCCGGAAATGACCTGCTCTAGACAAGCGTGGTTCACATTATCTTTATCAATGGCCCCCTTCTCCACCACCTTCTGTAGCAGAGGCTCCAAATGAATGACATAAGCAGACAACTTTTCTCCCGGGTTCTGATAAATGTTCAGAAATTTGACCTGGGCATCCCTAGAGCTCTCAACACTCCCAAACACGTGCTCAAGAGCCTGCAGGCATTCGGCAGTAGTTATCACGGGGTTGTTGGTCTTGAGGATTCGAATGACATCAGCGGAGGGGCCTCTAAGACGCTCCATCAACCGCCGCCTCTTTTCTGTATCCGGCACCTGCCACTCCTCCAGGACCTCATTAGTGTGCTCCAGCCAGGGATCAAAGGTTTCCTCTCCAGGCCCTGGGATGTCCCTCCCCGAGAAAAGTGTCAGCTTCTTGTACCATATGGACTCAACAAGAGGCTGAATAACATTATCCAAAATATAGTTTAGCATCTCTGCTGGCATCTCTCTGGGACCCGGGTCGGGGTAGGGTTCTGAAACCCAAGGACACAGAGGACATCCTGCACGGTCCAGCCCTCTCTAGCTAGGAAGAGGTGCAGTCTTTCTAAAAATTCAACATCGGAAGTCGGGGGGCTTAAAGAACACTTTCCAGACTCCTCCTTTGCCCGGCATCTCCCTGGGGATCATGGCGTAATTGACAGCGCTAGTGAGCTCTAATAAGCCTGCTTTCGCATTTTCTTCCCTCCAGAACATTCTCCCAAGCACTCGGTAGGGCACCTGGGGCATCGCAGCCTGGAGGGTCTCTTGGATTTCAGCCTCATCTCAGTTCACTGGGACGCCCCAGACCAACAGAGCTCTCTGGGAGTTCACATCCATTCCCCAGCACCAGTCTTCCAACAGTATCATCGCCATTTTCTCAACTATCAAGACACCAATTCTATCAACAGACAGTGGCTCACCGTGCTCCTGGCCTTAGAACAACGCCAGACACTCCCCTCAAGTAGGCCCAAGGGAGGCGAGCTTCACGCAGTCACGATTAACAAAGACACAGAGTCCTGATTTCACCCTTCCCTGCCCCCACAGTCAGTCCGTGGACGCACTCGGGGCCGAGCTCAGGGACGCTGAGGCAGTCACGCAGCAGTCGCCATCTTGCGTCCGGGTCCGGGTCCGGGTCCGCTGCCAGCAGCGAGGGCGTCGCGTCGTCGTGGAGCGGGCAAGGAGCGAGGGCGGGCGGCAAAGGTAGGCGCGATGGGCGGAGAACCGCCGAGGTGTGGTCGCGGGGCGTGGTCGCCGGGCGCTCGCGGCGGCCCCCAGAGTAGATCAGGCGTTCGCGGTTGCAGCCCGGTCTTCCGAGGGCGAGGAGCGGTCGTTTGGGAGACCAGGCACAGGCAGACTGTGCCGAAGTCGCGGCGGCTGCGGGCCAGCGGAGAGCGGCTTCTTGGCAGGAGCAAGGACTTCTTCCGGGCGGGTGGACCGGAAGAAGTGGACTCTTCCGGGCGGGTGGACCAGAAACGAAGGCAGCAGAGGAGCAGGAGAGCTGGAGAAGCCGGGCTGCAGACAGCAGAAGAGAGGGTGAGCAGCGGCAGCCGCAACGGTCTGCAGCGGCTCAGGCGCTGTGCGGCTACCCGGACATCGTGTCCTACCCGCAACCTGCGGCGATGTTACTGCCAGTAATGTCTTTTTAAACTAGTTTGTAGCCACAAATCTTAAAGACCTTACCAGTGAAGTATGAGATAATTTAGAATACTCCCTCATAATGTTTAAATCTTTAAATATTAATTTCAACATCAAACACAATTCATCATTTTTAACATGATTAACATGATAGCTAATACAAATCAATGTAAGTGTAAATATATAAGAAATAGGTAAGATAATAAACATCTGATTATTTGCTCAGCATGTATTTTCTTACCAACTTTACAAACCTCTTTTTTTGCATTATTTAGAAACATTACTTTTGCGAGATTCAGTGAAGCAAGTAAGTTTGAATTTGAAAATAAACTAAACCGTGATGTGTGGAACAGGTTTTTATTTCACTCTTGGTAAAGACTTTTGAAGTAAATGACACATAGACAGCAATTAATTAAATTTGAGATATGACTGAGCAAATTTATCAAAATTTATTAGAAATGCTCTTTAAAAATAATCACGTTTTTATTCATGTGTTAAACAAAAATTATGGGAGGCCACTGTTTTCGACTGAGATCCTACACTAGGTCCCTGTAGATGAGACTCAACAGAAATGTAGTCACTTATGCTAAATGCCACACAATCAAACTGAAACTTAAGAAAGTAGACAGATCCCAGGACAGACAAGATATTCCTCAAGACAGGGAATGCCAGTCTACCTGAGTCAGTGCAAAGAGGAACTCCCCTCGCTTTAATCCTTACAACAAATTAACCTGGATTAACCTGATGTTAACCAATCAGCATTTTGGTTTAATTGTTCATTTCATTTAATTGTTCTCATCTTACAAAACCTACTGTTCTTCCATTGTCTGTGGACGCTCTCATCCTATTTTGTAGAATGAAGGCTACCCTGATTCATGGATCACAAATAGAAGCCAATCACATCTATAACTAAATTTCTTCTAATTTTGTCTTTTTAAAAGTTATCGTCAGGCTGAGCTTGGCAGCTCATGCCTGTAATCCCAGCACTTTGGGAGGCTGAGGCAGGTGATTCACAAAGTCAGGGGTTCAAGACCAGCCTGGCCAACATGGTGAAACCCTGTCTCTACTAAAAATACAAAAATATGCCGGGCATGGTGGCAGGCACCTGTAATCCCAGCTACTCAGGATGCTGGGGCAGGAGCAACTCTTGAACCCAGGAGGCAGAGGTTTCAGTGAGCCAAGGTGGCACCACTACACTCCAGCCTGGGTGACGAGAGAGACTGCTTCTCAAAAAAAAAAAAAAAGTTATCATCATAGGCCGGGTACAGTGGCTCATGCCTATAATCCCAGCACTTTGAAAGGCCAAGGCAGGCAGATTGCTTGAGCCCAGGAGTTTGAGACCAGCCTGAGCAACATGGTGAAACACAGCCTCTACAAAAAATGCAAAAAATAACCAGATATGGTGGCATGCACTTGTAGTCCCAGCTACTCCAGAGGCTGAGATGGGAGAATCACTTGAGCCCAGGAGTTGAAGATTGCAGTGAGCCATGATCACTCCAGCCTGAGTAATAGAGCAAGACTCTATCTCAATATTAAAAAAACAGACAAACCAAAAACAGTTATCACAAATTTTTTAAAATTAAGAATGCAGCTTAACACTTTCTTAACTCTTGAGGAGGTAAATTGGTTATCTAACATATATTAATGTCTCAATTTTATTATTTTTTAAAAATATATTTGTGTAGAATATGGAGTGAATGAAGTTAAAATCCAGGTAAATATATTCATTACCTTGCAAAGTTTCCAAAATGCTATGCATTTTTGTGTATAATTATTTACAACTTATTTTTAACGCATCATTTCAGCCTGTTAGGGATCCAGTGTTATAGCTTAGATGTTTGGCTCCTAAACCTCATGTTGAAATTTGACCCCCAGTGTTGGAGGTGGGGCCTAAAGGGATATGTTAGGGTCACAGGATCAGATCCCTCATGGAAAGATTGTTGCCCTCCCAGTGGAGAGGGGATGAACAAGCCTCTCTGTGAGCTCCAAGAAAGCTAGTTGTTACGAAGAGCCTGGCACCCCTCCCCTCTCTCTTGCCTCTTTTCTCACTGTGTGATCTCACTACACACTGGCTTCCCTTCACATTCTGCCATGTGTGGAAGCTACCTGAAAAATTCACCAGAAGCTGAGCAGCTGCTGGTGCCATTCTTCCTGTATGGGCTACAGAATCATGAGCCAAATAAACCTCTTTGCTTTATACATTTTTTAATCTTAGGAATTTTTTTATAGCAACACAAATGGTTAATCCTCTTTTATTTTTTAGCTGCAACTCAAATAATTTAAGCTGCAAGTGTTGGAGGGAGGAGAACAGGAATCGAAGGATAACAGGCAAAAGAAGAATCAGGAGGAGGATTAACACTCCTAAGCCAATTAGAGATGAAAAAGATGGTATCTTAGACCAATGCAGCCAGGAGGACAATGTGTTCACAATATCTTTGGCTACAGTATCATCTACAGGGAGCTGTTCCCTGGAAGCATCAATTGCATATATTTGTTTCTGTAATTTTCTTATATCTAAAGACAAAGTATTATGTGACCATATCCCTTGCAAATGGGCCTTAACTAAAGGCCATTGCCATTCAGAAGCATTATATTCCGTATTAGTAACAGAAATGGAAGTAAATTCGGCATGGCACTGAAGTGCAAGGTGATTTTGAATATTATACACTTTATCTCCAAGAAGAGTAACAGTTTCTTCCAAAACATTTAACTTTGCTTCTAATTTTCTATCTATATCCATCTGAGTTCCTAAAGACATGGAGATATTCTTTGCTAAGTGGTTAACATAAGCAGCAGTTTGTATATTATAAGATAGACTGACTGCAGCAGTAGCAATAACAGTAACAATTGCAATAATACTGGCAATAAGCAATCCTAAAAACCTTTTTGGACGCACCATTAAATCCCTAACTTGTTGTAAAACCTGTAATCCTCTATCATCATACTAAGGCCCAGAGATATTAACAGGAAGCATGATATAAGGAGGTTGATGTACAATCATAATAACTGGAGTTGGGAAAACAGTTGAATCAATACAATTAGTAAGAACACAATTAGGGCAAGTTATACAATAATGTCCACTTATTTCATTTATAGATATGTTTCCATGAAGAACAGCATAAGGAGAGGTTACACAAACGTGTACAAAAATCTTTTGTATTAGTGGAGAATAGTTGCTCCTTTCACCAGCTCTCATAATGCTAGGAGTTAAGGCTAAAAATAATCTCCAAATATAAGAGTGTGTCTGTCCAGAGGGAGTTGTCCAAAAAGGAGTAAGCCATCCCCCAGGGCTTTCATAACGATCAAATCCTGAAGAATAAGGAACAGCAACAGACCAATCATAAAGGATAAGACCAATGGGCAAAGTGTAGGTTGCAGCTTGTCTATGATCACAGCGTTTCCAAGGAAGAATATCAAGGAAAGATTGCTTAAAAGTAACACAGGACTTTTTCAAAGGAAGAGAAGATACAGAATTTACATTTTCAGACTCTTTGATTCCTAAATAATATATTCTCCAATCTCTACTAGCACGAGTTTCTTCCCCAGGTCTGAGATCACACTTTCCCTCAAATGTGTATTGTGGTCAACTGCCTAATTCTAAACAATTAGATCCTGAGGAAGAATGATCCTTCAACTGTTGTCTTGAAAGAGCCCCACCCCAAATACGGGAGGCATAAAAGCACATAGGAGGTGCCGCGGCTTGTGCAGTGAATGCATATGCTGCCTTCTGGGGCGTGATATGCGAAGATGAAGGGAGTCCAAAAACAAAGGTGTCATTTAAGTATACTGCAACCGGAGGATCATTTCAAGTAAGAGGACGCAGCAGGGGAGGATCTGGTACATAAGCCCACAAAGTTTGTTCCTCCGCTCTTCCCCCTGGAACTTGGCAAGATAAAATAGTTAACATGGCAATAAACATTAAAGCCGGAGTTCTCTGTGTACCCTGTGAGTCCACAAGTTGAGCTGCTTCAGCACAAAGTGGTTTCAGTTGACCCCAAGTCGGCACAGGAAGGCACTGAGTATTCTGTGTCAGGGAACGCCTCCTTCGGCGACGACGATGGAGCAGTAGGGGTGGTGTCAGTAGGGGTGGTGTCAGATGCAGTCGTCTCAGTCGCGGGATCAAGGTCCCGGGATTTCCCATTGGCAGGAGGTCCTCGAAGGGCATGTTTCACCAACCGTTCCAGGATCCACAACGAGCTTTCAGCAGATCTAGGAAAAACACAAACATGTCCTCGTCCCCATATGAGGACTGGATTAGGTCCATTCCACTTGTTAGTTAAGACATCCTTCCACAGCACCTCAGCTTGTGCTCTGGGACTAGGGTGCCAGAAACGCTCAGCAGCAGAGTGTCCTTCTGCATCAAAAGTCAAAAAATTTAAAACGTAAAGAGCATGTCTGAGCCAATTATGAGGAGTCTTATGTAAATCAGCTCCTGACCCCCGCCCTCTTGTTTTTTGCAAAGTTATTTTTATAATCACATGAGCACGTTCAACAGTTCCTTGTCCTTGTGGATTATGGGGAATACTTGTACGATGTCTGATATGAAACTGAGAACAAAACTGAGTGAATCCTTTGCTGGTATAAGCAGGAGCATTATCTGTTTTAAGAATTTTAGGAGGGCCTAAAATAGAAAACACCAACAAACAGTGGGCTATAACGTCTTTAACAGCTTCTCCTGTATGAGCTCAGGCTACCAGAAAATGAGAGAAAGTATCAGTAGTTACATGTATATGTTGAAATTTGCCAAAAGGTGCAAAATGAGTAACATCCATTTGATATATGTGTCCACTTTGCAGTCCTCGAGGATTAACTCCATAGTGAAAAGTAACTGGTAAGTGGGGAAGACACACAGAGCATTGTTTAACAACCTGTCGAGCT